GGATCGCTTTATCCCGAATTATTAACCCTCGCATACTTTTTAATATTATTCTCGACTTGTTTGTGCACACATCTCTTAGCTTTATCCTTACACTGATCATCCCATTCAATTTTGAATTGTTGTTAGAATTCTTTGCTAGCCCCACATCAACTCCTCCTTCACTGCTCTTCAGACTTATATGAATAGGCGTCATATTGAAATCACATATCAAGACTATCACAAGCTATTTCAGTTATCCACCACTGAAGATAAGCTTTATATCTTGTCTTCAGACCTCGATTATGACTGGGCTCTGGCCAATCACTTTTTGAGGACACACTAATGCTTCCTATCATGTTGGAGATTCTAGCAGCTTACTCAAAGATGCCAGGACAATTCAATATGTCCTTCGTACCTCAATTCTTCCAAAAGTTAGTGATCTTATTCACGTCACTCCACTCCTTTCGATCAGCACTTTCTACATCATGGCCCACCATGAATTTAATGCTACTAATCTCATTTTTGATACATTGAGCACCTGAAGAGCCTTAGAGATCCAGGACTTAAAAGGAAGCCCAACCTTGCCTTAGGATATATCATAACATGTGTCCTTGAATCCAAATACAACATTCAATATCCTACCCCACCAAACTTTAAGCATGCCTTCTACTCCAACAACCCCTTCCACATTCTTCATAGTACTCATCTTAACCCGGAGCATGAGGAAGCTGAGGGAGCTAAAGAGCCGGCTCCTACATCTGTTCTTGCACATGCTCCACTCTGCCAGCACTCACAAATGGATTAGCTGGTAGAGTAGTTCAACCGGTGGGAGACTCGATTGGAGCCCTACGTTGCTACATTGGAGCAGCAACATGCGGAAGATGTTGCTCGCTTTGGCTCATTCGTAGCTCACCAACAGCACCAGCATAACTAGGACATGACCTGGTTTTGGGAACAACATGGTAGTTTCTGTTTTGTTTCTTTTCTATTTTCCTCCTTTTTGTGATGTCAAAAGTGGGAGTAGTTGTACTATTTTATGTTGCTTAGTTTTACTATTTTATGTTGTACTGTGATCATACTTTTATATTGATTAGTTGTACTATATATGTCCCTTAGTAAATTTTGAACTTCTTGATTTATGTTGTTTCTATTAAACTACTTTAATTATTTTATATTTGCTATCATAAAAAAGGGAGATATTATTTTGAATCTGATTTCAGGAAATATAATTTTGATGATAGCAAATATTTATGTTACTTTTGTTTCTCTACGACTGCCTTGCCTACTAACATTTTAGGTCCATAAGATCAAACTGCAAATCGACCACCTCAACAATTGGGTAGACTAGGACTGAGTCAGTTTGTAATGTACGATAAGTGTCTTTTACATTTTTTTGAGTCCATTATAACATTGTGGGTCTTGATGCTAAGTAACCTTACACACACACACTTGGGGGGAATTTTTGACTATTTTAGAGTTTTTTTACTTTCAATCACATCGTTCGGAATGATCCAAAAAATTCGCCTAGATGATCAGTTAAAAATAGAAATCCTAATTAGGGCATCTTGGTTAAAGAAACTGCAATTAAGCTCATCATCCTGGACTATATTAGCATCTACTGGGACGATAGGCTCAAATTAGAAAGAATCAGCCGCCAGATCTATTTAGATATCTTTTATTTTTGGACATCGTCTGGTAAATCGTCCTGGATGTTGTAGTATAATTATGCCTAAATTAATCTGGTAATTAAAAAATAATTAAGGTTTGATTTCTCAATTATATCATCCTAGATGATCGAATGATCGTTCGAGATGATCCATTCACAAACTTTAGTTCTCTCTAGACAATCAAAAATTAGATTGACTCCATTCAGGGCGATGCTCTGGACGATACGTACTGAATTGAACTAATCATCTGGGGCGATCGTGAGATAGGCCTGGATGATCAAGTTATTTTTTCATCATCCAAACATTCATTTAAGGCGATGTTCTAGATGATATTTGTCATTTTGTACTAATCAGCCTGGACGATCATGAGATCGTCCTGGATGATCTAGTCATTTTTCCATCTTCCAGACATCCATCTAGAGTGATGGTTTGGACTTTTTTATTGAATTGAACTAATCATAGAGGGTGGTATACTTTTATCCTGGATGATATTTGATGATTAGTTACTAATTAGGACTTTTTTGGAGCCCTTGTTTAAAAGATCTCTTATTTTCTCATGTGGTGATCTTTTGCTACTGTCATGACCTGAGAGAGCCAAGATGAGAGGGAGAGGAAGGGAGAGAGAGAGAGAGAGAGAGAGAGAGAGAGAGAGAGAGGATCTTGTGAGGGGGAGTTTGTGAGGGGTTTCATAAAAGTTGCTCCAAGCAAGGATCCGCGTCATCTTCTTCGGTCGTCATCCCTGGTTCCTTGGGGGTTCTAGAGAGGTCTACTTCAGTAACTGATTGAGGTTCTCTACCTGCTTTAGGAGGAAGCAAAAAGAGTTGGGTTCTCTTCCTACTTTAGGAGGAAACAAAAGGAATTGGGTTCTCTGCCTCAACGGGGTCGGTGGAAAGGAGTTCTTATAGTCTTATCCACCTTGTTGTGAGGGCAAAGGGAGAGACACTGAGTTTAGTGCAATACCCAAAGGAGATTCTCCGGGGAGTGGACGTAGGTCATGTTGACCAAACCACTATAAAATATGGTGTGTTCTTTTTATTGTACTTTTACATTTAATTTTTGCACTTTAATTTCTGTAGTGATTGTTTGGTTGTGTTTATGATTTTGTTTGAAGAAATTTTTAAATACCAATTCATCCCGCCCTCTTGGTTAGCCTTGGGATTAGTTCATAAGGGCTTAACATCCTTGTCGAACTTTCAATTAGGTGAAGGTTCTTCTTGTGGATCAGTAGAATATTCTGAGTACTGCACTTGGTTGTAAGCAGTAGGAGGAATGCAGCACTCCAGAGTATACGATTTAGGCTCGCAAGCCTATGCATATGAAATGTGAAAGATGAGGGAGCAGTTTAGTGGGAAGAGTCAAGCTTCAAGAGAGGAGGAGGAGAGTGATTCATAGTATATGTTGTTTATTTTAATGTGAACATCTGAACTTATTTTGTTAGACATCTGAACTTGTTTATTATTGGATATATGTTAATGATATTATTCTTGTTTTTGTCATTGTTTATATGTTCACGTTCAATGTTCGGTGATGTTCTTGATTAGTGGTGGATTTTTGAATGTATATTGTATTGAATCTTTTTGTCCATAGGTTTTTGTAGAAATAAGATTGGCATGCTATAAGGAAGTTTTTTTTTATGCTACAAGTTTTCAGTGGATTATCCTTCGGAAATACTGTCGGCAATATAACACAATGAAAACATAACTCTTTTTACAACATTCAGTTTAAGCAGGTATTTTCAGCGTTTTATCTGCCGGAAATATCTGTCATTAATTATGCAATGGATACAACGGCGGATTAACCGTTGGTAATTCTGGCATATAGTTTTCTCAGAACTACCAACGTAACGATGTTTTACAATAAGTATTTTTGCCAGAAGTTCGCTGGAAGATACGCCAGAAATGTTTCCGGTGCAAAGTTTTCACTGGTTCCAATTTTCTAACGCTTGAATTACCATTGAATGTATTTTTTACGGCATTTCACTGCAAAAACCAAATTTTTGACAAAAATTTGATTTTACCGGCAAATTTTGTCCGTAAAAAATGCTGCATTTTCCTATAGTGGTTGATGATATTGTGGGGAGGGAACTTCATTATTTTTTTATAACACTCTTTGTTGACCAACCTCTTCCATTAGGTGTAAAATTCATGATTCCTACTCTTCAATCCTTCATATTCAAGTTTCAAAGATTAGAGATTGAGGCTCCCCCTTGCATGATTATGACATCTATGATTGCTAGATAAGTGCATAATTCAATGAGGGTAAGAATGAGAGAATCTATTATTATTATTACTTTGATTAATCATGAAAGAATTATGTTGGGAATGAACTTCTCACAGATAGTGTCAAATTATTATGAGCTAAAAAATTTAAGTTAGTAGAGTATGTGTTTTATGTCCCAATATTGTCCAAAAATTCAACATGCAAAGATAAAAATATCAAGATAATAAAAATTGTGGTGATGGTGTCTGTTGACGTTAATTTGTTGGTGGTAGTTAGCTGCAATGACTAGAAAATACAAGAGAGCTCTCTTTAGCTCTCTATATTCTTCATGTTTTCTCATGTGAAGAATGGGGCTCTATTTAAAGACTTTTTGGGATGAGCATTTTGGCAATTGGAACCAGAAATCAAAACACTCCATCGTATACGACCCATATTGATTCCCTTAATCACAAAGATTTTATTCTAATGATGTTAGAATTAAGTGATCTTAGGCTCGTTGGATTCATCTCGCCAAGCCTGTTGATTCGACTATAAGTATGCCAAATTTGAATATCATTTTATTATATATTCAATGTTAGAATTTTCTAATTATACTTCCAAGTACAAGATTTGTATACTTTAAGCTCATATTAGATCATTTTTAGTATCGTTGGTTTCTCCATATTGAGACGTTCAAATTTACTATAAATTTGTTGAAACTGAAATCATATGATTTTGAATTTAACCAGCAATTACTAATTCAAATTTTTTTTCTAAAGATTTGTGCTGATCATGATGGTTATTAGTAGATACATCAACACTAACCTAGCAACTCACCAATGATCTATCATTCTCATACACTGTGAACTATCATTATTTGACACAAATAATTCATGCACTATCAAACTACTTTCGGCAATCACAGGCACATTCAACACTTTTTTTGGCTTACAATTAAATTAAAAAAAAAAATCACTCCTTTTTTTTTTCTCTCGCAAAATTTTTTAATTATCCTTTTTCTAACACCCATCTGCTGCCATCATGAGCACGCGCGTAAGTTCCTCACCCTTCGCCCACTACCAAAAATAAATAAATCTATATATTAAAGTTTAAGAAAAAAAATCACATTAGTTGATCTTCTACGAAAGAGCCCTCCTCTTAAATCTATAAAGTATGCTGCCCATCCACCAAAAAAGAATCGAGAAGCCAATTATTTGCATCCACAGAAATGGCTCCGAGGATCGCCGTCGGCCACCACCACGAAGTCCGGCAACCCGACTGTATCAGGGCCGTTACTGCCGAGATCATCCTCACCTTCCTCTTCGTCTTCGCCGGTGTTGGCTCCTCCATGGCCGCCGGTACATATTTTCTACTTACCTCTCTCAGGGTCCAACAAACAGTAGAGATCAACAGTCTATTTAATTTCCCGAAGTGCTATTTTTAGGAGAGAAACTGTGTCAAAATATTCCTCAAATATATATATATATATATTTGTACTGACTATTAGGGGTATTTGGTATTGGATTTGTAAGTAGTTTTTAGTAGGATTTAGCGTAAATCCAGTCAGACGCAATCCGCCCCACTGTAAATCTAGCAAATCTGTAAATCCAAGATTTACGAATTTGCGGCATAAATTCGATAAATTCGTCTAAATCCTAATCTCATTCATATTCGGATTTAAAGCTCAGTCACAGAACTTCTTCATGCGGCACACAATCTGTTGCCAAACAGCTTCAGAGATTTAACAAGATTTAAAATTTTTCATACCAAACACTTTTCAGGATTTACAAGCTTAGGATTTACTAAATCCGGATTTACAGGATTTAGTAAATCTTACTAAAAATGAATCCAATTTTGTACCAAACACCCCCTTAAAGTTTTTAAATTTACTTTAACAGAGTAAGTAATTCTGATTCAAATAGAAGATCGTCAAATTACGCTAAAGATAACTTTCTAAGCTAATAAATTATTGTAGGGAAAGTGATGGGAGGAGATGGGACAATAATGGGGCTGACGGCGGTGGCGCTGGCGCACGCGCTGGTGGTGGCGGTGATGATATCGGCCGGGCTGCACATCTCTGGCGGTCATCTGAACCCGGCGGTGACGCTTGGCCTAGCCGTCGGCGGTCACATCACGCTATTCCGGTCACTTCTCTACATCTTAGCTCAGTTGATCGGATCTGCGCTGGCCTGCTTCTTACTCAAATTCTTAACTGGAGGCTTGGTTTGTTTAATTACTTTTTTTTTCTTGATTATTAGCAATAATTGGAATTTAAGGTCTTTAGTTTAATCTATCATTCCCACAGTGCATGTGAAGTGTTCCTTCTTGCAGAAATTTATTTGAATATTTTATTAATTAAAAATATTCTGTGCTATATATAAATTAGCAGAGTAATAATTATAATTTAATAAAAGATTTAGGCTTCATTTATCACAACAATTTTATTGATTTCCAAAGCATTATTTTAGTTAAAAAATATTTAGTTTAAAAATTTTTTTGTACTAAAAAATTATTTTAAAGAGTAATTAGAAAATCATCCCAAACGAAATCTTAGGCTTCATTTGAGTTGGCTTTTGCTTATTAAAGTAGCTTTTTAATATAAAAATTTTATTTTTATATTAAAAAAGTATTTTAAGAAACATTAATAAAGTAGTCCCAAACTAAACCTATGTGAGACAACTTTTATTTTTTAGTAAAAAAATTTTAATTTTTTATTAGAAAACTATTTTAAGAAGCAGTAAGTAGGTATATATAGACACACACATAATAGAGGGGAGGGGGGCCAAGTAGCAAACTTATGAAAAAATAAAAAATATATATAAGAATGCAAACATAATTTATTTACACGTAATCATTTTTTACAGATTTATTTGTTCGTGTTTGAAAAGTTTAACATAATCTAATGAAAATAACGGGAGGCGAAAAGACTTTTAATTTTTAGAATGTCAAATTACGAAAAAAAAAAAAAAGATTTGCTAGAGGCAAAAAATACAATTCAAGAGGGGCGGATTACAAATAATCCTTAATATACACAATTCCACCATTGACTTCACACATTATTTAAATTTGAAAAAAATAAAACTAAGCAACTCAACTTCTTATAAATTTACATGAATAAAAGAAAACTTACGAAATTTTATAGAATGAAAAGGTGCTGATCACTAATGTCTTCATCAAACTAACTTATTCATCACAAGAAATCTTAAGAAAACTGCGGCTTAAGGCAAGAAGAGAAAGATGAGATGAAAGGGAATGAAACAAAGAGAATTGGTGCCTTAAAAAGAGCCCATAAAGCCTTCCCAATTGCTCATCCAAAATTTAAAAAATAAAAAAGAATTTGTCTTTTGGCGAGTGATTTTTTCACTTGTCATGGAAGTTGCCACCAGTCGAGCAACTTCCACCATGTTCATTTTTCCTTCTCTTTTTGTGTAATAAGTTATTAAAAGAGTTTTATTTGAAACTTTTCTCTGTATATGGAGAGATTATTACATGCGAAGTCTAGATAGAAGACTAATCCAGATTCTATGAGGGTACACTGTAAATATAAAACAAACATACAATTTTATTTTTTATTGTATATTTGTTACACTTATAAAATATGGACAATTCTTTTTCTGAAATCCGCATATAATAATTTCTCCTATATATGAATCCATTTTATAGTTCATGCAGTGCAAGTATAATATTCAAAACTCAGACGCAGCTATTAATTTCAGTTCCTGTTATGATTTCTGAAAGTGTTTAGCCATAATGTTCTTCAATTTACACCTTAATATACTTCATTACTTAAACACTTGGCCATTAAACAGATTACCATGAGGCTGACAACAGGAAATCTAATCCATTCCTGTTATCCCAAGAAAGGCAAAGCTGGATGATTTCGAAGAGCTAATCTTTCAGAAAATGAGGTAAAAATGGTTTATAAATATAAATATAATATTTTCAGCATAAAATTTTTATCAAAATTTATATTGAGTTAAATGAATTTTTAAATAATGTATTGAATAGCAAGTTTCTATAGTTATTGGAGCAAATAGAACAATGTATATTATACTTGATAAGTTCATATAAAATCAAGTCAACTACATTATTTTTAATCGTAATTTAGTTTCTTTATTTAACTCACATCAACTAGATTAAGCATGTATAGTATACATGATAAGACTAGAGAGGGAGTTGAAGGTATACTTGAATTATAGAGGTCAACCTTAGAGTTTAAAAATTTTGTTTGAGTATATCTAAAACTAAATATATGGAGTGTAATTTTAGTAGTTATAGATCTTGTTGGGGGGGACTTGAGGCCATAAAGTCATTAATAAGAGTGCTTGTTTTAGATATCTTGGATGTATTGTTCATAGTGATGGGGATATGGACGGGGGAAGATATTATTAGTAGAATTCAAGTTGGATGGTTGAAGAGGAGGAATGCATCTAGCTTGTTGTGTGATAGAAACGTCCCTCTCAAACATAAGAAAAATTTCTATAAGACGATGGTAAGACCTGCAATAGGGGTGTCAATTTTGAGTTACGGGTCGGGCTCGGGTTGAACCCGAAACTGACACGACACTATTCGGATTGGGGTCAACCTGACCCGTTTTTGCAAATGAGTCAATTTTTCGGACCCGAACCTGACTCGCTTCGGGTTCGGGTCAACCTGATCCGACCCATTTAGGCAGCTTCATCGGGCAGCGACTGCGGCAATGGTGTTCGGCAGATTCAGCGGGCAGCGGCAGTGGCATTCGGCAACGGTAGCCGGCAGCTAGCAACGACGTTCAAAGCTGTAGCGGCCATTAGGGAGGCGATAGGCTCGATGTAGCCGTAGGCGTCTAGGCGCTGGCGCGACATGCGATGTTGTGATACGACGTGGGCGCTGGCGCATCATGCGGGCAACAGCTGTGGCTTGATGCATGCGGCCACGTGGGCAGACCGGGCATTCGGATGGGCGGACAGGCGGGGAACCTGTGGCAGGGAACACGGGCAAGGTCTTTTTCGGGTCATTTTGTGTTATTCTTGAGTTTTCGGGTCAACCCGAACCCGACCTGTTTTTGTAAACGAGACAGTTTTTTGAACCCGAACCCGACCCGCTTCAGGTTCGGGTCAACCCAAAACAAAAAATTTCGGGTCAGGTTCAGGTCAGGTTTTCGGGTCGGGTCCAATATTGACAGATCTAACCTGCAATGCTTTTATGGTGCAAAATGTTAGCTATTAAAAAAGAAGCATAATATTAAGTTAAGTGTTGCTAAAATAAGGATACTCATGTAAATGAGTGGCTTTACTCTTAGAAATCGGATATGACACGAGCATATACGTGAAAAGGCTGGAGTAGCTCCATTTGAAGTTAAGATTAGAAAGAGTCTTCTTAGATGGTTTGGTCATATAAAATGAAGGCTTTTCGATGCTTCGATTAGGAGAGTAGATGTATTAGATTTGGCTTATATCAAGAAAGGTAGATGTAGACCTAAAAAACTTTGTTTGAAAATATTAGAAATGACCCTTCTTTATTAAACTTAAATAAGATTTTGACCCTTAACAGGTCACAATGGAGAAAATTATTCATATAGTTCACTCCACATAGTGGGATAAAAACTTGATATTATTATTATTGTTGTTGTTGTATTGAACTTACACCAACACTCCAATTATGTGCATGCTTGTGCCCTTAAACTTTTAAGTAACATATTCCACCTAACATAATTGAAAGTACTTGTAACTAAAAACAAAATTTTTAAATTTAGGGTCACACTGGCATTATCTTATATTGAAATATTTCATGCACTTAATGTCAGTACTCCTAAAAAGGTAAAATGATGTTTAAAAGTTGTTGAACAAATCATTTAATAATTGGGTACAGTGATATTCACAATTTTTGTGTACTCATCATCATCATTACTATGTGATCAATAATACTTTTCATGTATAAGAGACTTGTATATTACTCATCACGAAAGTTATCGCAAAGTGGGGTTGATCCCATAATGGTTTTGTAGTTTGTAGGAACTTGATAATTTCACTTGCACTTCATTGTGGACTAACTATCACCTTTAAAGTATGATTATTGGGACTTATAGGCTATAAGGGATCTCATGCAACTTATTTCGGATCTTATCTATAATGGCTTGGTCATTTAATTGCAGGAGTATGATTAATCTACATTAGTGGGTAGAGAGTAGGTTATTAGTGTTTTTTTTTTCTCATTCTTTTCTTTCCCTTTTTTCCTTTTATCTAGCTTGCCAAAATAAGTTATAGGAATATAAACAGGACTCAACAAAGCTACTTCGTAAGAAATAAAGAATACACATCACTTCAGTAATGACTTTCTTTCTCCTAGGGGATTTGGCTCGCCTGCCTTTCATTGTACCTAGGGCCTCAACTCTCTTATAAGGAGTAGTCATATTTATTTTTTAGCTTGAGTCTGGATGAGAACTAAACTAGTTCCCATATCAATCAATCAAAGACGATTATTATGGAGTCCAACATCTAAAGTGGGCTAATTTAGTTCCCAGCTCATTGGAGCTCGCCCAAAGTTAGAGGCAAATTACTGATGCACCTCGGGTGATTTTTTATCAATTGACTCCCACGAGCGAGTTCTCTTAGCTATATCTTTAAGTGTTGGGTGATCATCCTACAATTGTGAGTCATCGCTATGCATCTCTGGGAAATGTGTATTTCACAATCATATTTTTCATATCGGGGTGGATTCCCGTGCATTTTTTTGTGTAGACGTGAATTTTAAAATTTTTACTCACATATATGCATTGAAATCACTCATAAACAAAAGAGGCAATAGAAATGTGGGAGGAGCATTTATTCATTAATTAGAATAAAAAATATAAGTATGAACTGAAGGATTTCCTCCATGTATAGAATGTCTCTGAGTCATCAACACTTATGCCACCCATTTTTGTGAGGCTATCACTAGATTAATTAAAAGTTGATTAGTTATATTAGACTAGATTATGGTTTGATTGTGTAGCGTAGGATTGAATTATGCTCAAATTAGTAGACATTAGAGTTGCTAGGTAGATTTATGATTATTTTAGGTTGAGGGTTATAGGGAAAATTCTATGGTGAAATTTCAAGATCTCTAACAATCATCTCTCATAGAGGCATCAATATGGGCCCTCTTTGACACAACAACCAAAGTGCAATCTAGCATTATTCATGTCACTTCCATTGTGAAAACTTTTTAAAGGTCAACAAAATCATCCCAAAAAAAATATTTTATGAGCTTTCATCCTCAACATGATAAAGAATATGTAATAAGTACAAATTAATAAATATTATAAGTGCATATTCATTATTAGAAAAAAAAAAATATTTATTATAAAATGTCAGAAGTTAATCACCAAAATTTGTATTAGATATAAGATTATGAAATTAGATCTTATGAATATTCATTTACTTTGAATATGTTAAGCATGCAAATTTT